TGGAAAATAAATATATAATAGAAAAATAAAGATAAGAAACATATAATCATTTTCCAAAGCATTATAACATTTTTTGTAATTTATGTATATCGAAAATATTATGGATATACAATGATATATACAAAGAATAATATAATATATTAAAACATATTACATGGTTTATTACAAATAAATTGTAATACATGGAAACTGTATAAAATATAAAATGTTACATTCTACATACTCTATATGTATCGTAATGTTAGTTTATAAACAAAAACAACAAAAAAATCAAATAAATTGAGACATTAAAACAAGGACATTCAAACAAAACTTCGCTTTTGTTTAGATTTTTATTGGTATAGATTTCTTGTTTTTGTTTTTTCTGCCATAATAAATCTGAAAAAAAAAATCAAAATAGGAAAATATACACATAAAGGACTTTGCTAAACAATAAACATTTTCAATAAATATTTATAAGGAGACAACAAACAAATAAACATTTAAACAAAAGAGGCGAACAGAATTCAATAAAAAAACTTTTTCCTGTCTTCTTATTGTTGTTTGTTAACTTTCTCGATTTAAGTTGAAGTATTTCATCCATACGAATTCTAACTGACTTTTCTTTTGTATTTATTTATATAGTGTTGTCTAAGGTGTTTGAAGTTGTTACATGAAGATGTCTACTGAAAAAGTCAATATTTTCCCTTGCGTATTTTTATTTGGTTTCTTTTATTTAGTAGCTTTTTTAGATATGCATACATATACATAAATATGTATGTGTGTTATTAAGGTAAAAGTAGGAAATTGAAATAGATATAATGAAGATTTATTAAACTGTCGAAATTTCTTTGTTAATAGTTAAAGTTTGAAGATGTTCTGCAAACAAATTAAATATTGCATTGCATAAGAAATCATTTGAAACACGAACCTTTAACGCCATCAATCTAGGGACACAAATGATTGTTGCTGTTAAATAAGTTAAAATTTCTGTAGAACAAATTCCAACCGAAAGTTGTATTTGTTTATTCTGTTTGATGGAACATAAACAGTACAGAACTAACTAACTAACTAACTAACTACTAACTAACTAACTAACTAACTAACTAACTAACTAACTAACTAACTAACTAACTAACTAACTACTAACTAACTAACTAACTAACTAACTAACTAACTAACTAACTAACTAACTAACTAACTAACTAACTAACTAACTAACTAACTAACTAACTAACTAACTAACTAACTAACTAACTAACTAACTAACTAACTAACTAACTAACTAACTAACTACTAACTAACTAACTACTAACTAACTAACTAACTAACTAACTAACTAACTAACTACTAACTAACTAACTAACTAACTAACTACTAACTAACTAACTAACTAACTAACTAACTAACTAACTACTAACTAACTAACTAACTAACTAACTAACTAACTAACTACTAACTAACTACTAACTAACTAACTAACTACTAACTAACTAACTAACTAACTAACTACTAACTAACTAACTAACTAACTAACTACTAACTAACTAACTAACTAACTAACTAACTAACTAACTAACTAACTACTAACTAACTAACTAACTAACTAACTAACTAACTAACTAACTAACTAACTAACTAACTAACTAACTAACTAACTAACTAACTAACTAACTAACTAACTAACTAACTAACTACTAACTAACTAACTAACTAACTAACTAACTAACTAACTAACTAACTAACTAACTAACTAACTAACTAACTAACTACTACTACTAACTAACTAACTAACTAACTAACTAACTAACTAACTAACTAACTAACTACTAACTAACTAACTAACTACTAACTAACTAACTAACTAACTACTAACTAACTACTAACTAACTAACTAACTAACTAACTAAGCTAACTAACTAACTAACTAACTAACTAACTACTAACTAACTAACTAACTAACTAACTAACTAACTAACTAACTAACTACTAACTAACTAACTAACTAACTAACTAACTAACTACTAACTAACCTAACTAACTAACTAACTAACTAACTAACTAACTAACTAACTACTACTAACTAACTACTAACTAACTAAACTAACTAACTAACTAACTAACTACTAACTACTAACTAACTAACTACTAACTAACTAACTAACTAACTAACTACTAACTAACTAACTAACTAACTAACTAACTAACAACTAACTAACTAACTAACTAACTAACTAACTAACTAACTAACTAACTAACTAACTAACTAACTAACTAACTAACTAACTAACTAACTAACTAACTAACTAAACTAACTAACTAACTAACTAACTAACTAACTAACTAACTAACTAACTAACTAACTAACTAACTAACTTTGATTATAGACTGTCCTTTAATCTTGCTTATAGAAGAGTCTATAGTTTGATTGTAGACTCAAATATCCATCTTTCGACCAATTTTATAACGCAATAGTTTTCATTCTTAGGTCCTCATTAAAACTTTACTTATATAGAAAAAAGTTTCAGCATAAATATTATGAACTGCTTTCATTGACTAAAGTTAATAATATTTTAGAATAAGTTCCTAAATTGTATGAATTTTTCAGGGACTGTAAATAACTGTTATTCTGAAATTTTTAACCCAAAAAATCTCTATGTTGGAGTCAACGTAGACCTATACTATTATATACCAATATACTCGTATTGCTGTACTTTATCAGAATATATGGTGATTTAAAAAAAAACGATCTTTGCTCCACAAATAACAGTTATTTTTTAACGGAAAAATAAAAGTCTGATTGAAACAGTTAAAAAATGAGTTTTATTTTTCCGTCATAAAATAAGAATTATTTGAGGAGTTTTATTTTTTCCATCAGAAAATAAAACTCATTTGTTTTCCCCGTCAAAAAATCAAACAATATTTTTATATATTTTTTCTGTATCCTATTTCATTGAGTTTATCTGACCAAGTCCATTAAATAGTTGATTTGAACTGACGTTGAAAACATCTGAATCAAAAACGGCAAATGGTAATTTTCTGTTATGACTGAACACAAGCTGTTTTAATTTCTTCGGAAGGCATTATTATTGAAAATGAGTTTTATTTTCTGACGAAAAAAATAAAAGTCCTCAAATAATTTTTATTTTAGGACGGAAAAATAAAACTCTTTTTTTAAAAGTTTCATTTGAATTTTTATTTTTAGGTTGAAAAATAACTTTTTCAGGTGGATTTTTATTTTTAAAGTCACAAAATAACTGTTATAAACTGACTTTTTTAATATAACTTATAACTGTTACGGTCCCTGGAATTTTTTCATTTTTATATTTTTAAACATAATCTAGAAGCCTTGACTTAAAATATTAAAAATTTTCTTTATATTTTTCTGTTTGTTAAAAAATGTTTGAAATTTTCTTTAGAAAATTTTTTATTTCTTTATGATTTTTAGATTGAAAACAATAAAATATGCGCGTAACATGCAACATTTTCTGAAGAATGGATGTTTAGCTATATGCTGGTTTTTTTATTTCATATTTTGTTTTCCAGCATTTTTATTTATTTATCATAAAAATTCGCTAATATGTGATTATTTTCTAAAAAATCGAAGATATTAATAGGTAACTGTTATTTATTTATTTATTGCATTTTTGATGAAAATCAAAGAAAATGAACAAAAAAAAACAAAAAAATCTTTCATGTACAAATTCATACATTTTATGAACTTTTAATATTCTGAATGAAAATGGTTTGGGAAAAAAAGTCATGTTCGATTCATTCAATTTATTTCAAAATTCATTCCAAATATGAATTATTTTTTTCTGTGTATCGGATAAGTAAGAAACACAAATTTCTTCAGCCGGAATTTTAAACTAGGCAAGCAATAGTTTTCTGTATTTCACACTCCTGCTGCTTAATCAATGTTCCGGTAACATGTTGTTTTATTGTGATTTTCAGCAAGACTTTTTACAAAAAATATCAATGTAATTTTGACAAAAAAAAATGTATCTAGCAGAGCTCGAACCACGAATCTCCTGTTTGTTTAATAGATAACCAGTGCCATTGTCCTTTAACAAATCGAAAGTCCTTCGCTCTTTATCGATAATTATATATTCGGCTAAATGAAATAATGATAACTCATAACCAAGTATTGTATGAAATAACTACTTGTTATGAACGAAAATTTAAGATATAAGGTTAGTGTTAAGTCTTGAGTGCATAAGAGTCCATAGTTGAACAGACTATAAAACAGTCTATAGTTAGTCTTGGTTATACATGTGTCTTAATAGTACAACCGCCTAAATATATACTTTACTATAAAATAATCCATTTCCTCAATGTGTACTATAGATAATTTGGTTGACTCTATATTCGACACAGACTTTGCCCAATTATCATTACCTTAAAGTTAGATTTGCTAGTAAATTAAAACCAAAAAGAAATTTCTACCTTATATGTAAATTTCAACCGCAGCGGAGTACACAAACGAACCGTAATAGAATTTAATCGATCACAATAACCTAAAATAAAGTCCCTATGGGAAAACAATAGATTGAGTATCTACTCCATATTTTTCTTTCTTTTGTTTCATTTTATGTGTTTGTTTATTTTTAAACAAATATCTCTTGTATTAAAAAATAAAATTAATTACAAATCCGTCAATTAAACTTTCCCAACCAACTGGTTTATTTCTCAGGTGTAAATAAAAACTCTTAAGTAAAAATAAAACACTCAAGTTAATAGGTTTCAATTTATCAATTTCTTTCGGGAAAAAATATATATTTTTTTATATACCATTAAGCTAATAGATTATTATTTTAACAAGATATTTTTAACACATTATTAATGCTGTCAGTTGGATATTTTCATACACAAGTTAATGGCAGGAGTTTATAGGCTGTCACGTCTAGTTTAGCTGTCAATATGGCAAAAAAAATAATAAAATAATACTTGCAAGATTACAACAAAATGTTAAGCTATAATAACTAATTTTCTTAACATATTTTTTTTCAATTTATTTATAGAACCTGTTACTGAAGTAATTGGAGGTCCAGAGCTGCACATTAATAAGGGATCAACTATAAATTTAACTTGTATTGTTAAATTTGCACCAGAACCTCCACCCACAGTTATATGGTCACATAATCGGCAGGTAAGTGAAAGGAAAATTTAAAATTTTTGTACATAAGTAAAACAATTTGTTGCTTATGATAAAGAAAGCCTTAAGAAATATTTGAGATAATTTTTTTTGTTAAAAAATAAATCAAAAGTCTGACCTTTGTTAAACTAATACAGTATAGTTTATTTAAATAATTTTAGTGCCAAAAGAAGGGAGATATATTTAAATAACAGGCGGACGGACGGACGGACGGACGGACGGACGGACGGACGGACAGACAAACACCTTAAATCAAAATACTACTCATATGACAAACAAAACTGTCATAAAAATATGACATTTACCTAAACAAATAATTGTGATTAACTTGTGATAAGGGTCTGTTTTTTATGAGATTTTTCTACTCTATTCTGTATTTAGTCATTGAAGGGACCATTACTCTAGAGGAATAAATAAAGGACCTGGTGAGCGAGAACAAAAAAAGGAAGAAAAAAGTAAACATAAACTGTAAAATAATATATGGACCCCTAAACATTTATGTCTTGAAAATAAATAAAATTCTAAACAGGGGAAAATATTAAGTAAAATGTCATGCTAATAAATATAACATGTAATCAGACGTACATACTCTCTCTCTCTCAATCTCTACAGTCGCCCATACACATATACACACCCACTGACAAGGACAATGTATTATTTTCAACTAAACCATAAAATTTACATAATTTCAAAACAAATTATACTTAAATTGTATTTTATACTCCCAACAATAACAGAACAGTTACACATATGACTACATATACATACATATGTAAAATATGTACACACAAGTATTTGGCAACAAATCCTTATTCAAAAATCCTTACAAATATAATAAGCATTATTTTTGTTAACTTTAAACTTAATACAAGCTCATATTTCTTTCTTCTTCTCTCGCTCTCTCTCTCTCTTTGTTTGTCCCTTCTCCTTGCATCTAAATGGCCATTTAATGTTTATGTGTTTACGTCGGTGATGGCATCTTCTGAAAATCAGGTCATAAATTTCGATTCACCACGTGGCGGTATATCATTAGTAACGGAAAAAGGTGTTTTAACCACAAGTCGTTTATTGGTACAGAAAGCAATACAACAGGATTCTGGACTTTATACATGTACGCCTTCGAATGCAAATCCAACATCTGTGCGAGTACATATCGTTGATGGTAAGTAAATAAATTTGTTGTTTCTTTTACACACATCTTAGATTTTTCGTTTTGTTTTATTAACCTTGAATGTGGGTAGTAAAATTTATGTAATATTTTTGGTAAGGGAAAGAAGATTTATTTAGTGTTCTTTTATTTTTATTACTTTTGAATATTTAGCATTTATAAAGGGCAGTAATATTAAATTAAAATAATCTAAGTTATGTATTATAAAATTAAAACATATCATTGGCGCATATATTTCCCAAAGTAGCAGGTATCTCGAAAATTTGCTACTTTTACAGAAAATTTTTGAAAATTTCGTAATTTATAGAAAGTTTGGAAAAATTTTCCAGAAGTATAACACTTCTCTCTTTCATTTAGATTTTAAGAACATTCTCTTGTTATAGAAAATGTTGTAGAAAATTCCCCTTCTCGCAGAATGTTTTAGAGAAAATTCTCTTTCTATAGAATATTTTGTAGAAAATTCTCTTTATATAGCACTACACTAACTACTAACTAACTAACTAACTAACTAACTAACTAACTAACTAACTAACTACTAACTAACTAACGAACTAACTAACTAACTAACTAACTAACTAACTAACTACTAACCTAACTAACTAACTAACTAACTAACTAACTAACTAACTAACGAACTAACTAACTAACTAACTAACTAACTAACTAACTAACTAACTACTAACTAACTAACTAACTAACTAACTACTAACTAACTAACTAACTAACTACTAACTAACTACTAACTAACTAACTAACTAACTACTAACTAACTAACTAACTAACTAACTAACTAACTAACTAACTACTACTAACTAACTAACTAACTACTAACTACTAACTACTAACTACGAACTAACTAACTAACACTACTACTAACTAACTAACTAACTAACTAACTACTAACTAACTAACTAACTAACTAACTAACTAACTAACTACTAACTAACTAACTACTAACTAACTAACTACTAACTAACTAAAACTAACTAACTACTAACTAACTACTAACTAACTAACTAACTACTAACTAACTAACTCACTAACTACTAACTAACTAACTACTAACTACTAACTAACTAACTACTAACTAACTAACTAACTCACTAACTAACTAACTAACTAACTAACTAACTAACTAACTCTACTAACTAACTAACTAACTAACTAACTAACTAACTAACTAACTAACTACTACTAACTAAACTAACTACTACTAACTAACTACTAACTAACTAACTACTAACTAACTAACTAACTAACTAACTACTACTAACTAACTAACTAACTACTAACTAACTAACTAACTAACTAACTAACTAACTAACTAACTAACTAACCTAACTAACTAACTAACTAACTAACTACTCACTACTAACTACTAACTCTAAACTACTACTAACTAACTAACTAACTAACTAACTACTACTACTAACTACCTAACTAACTAACTAACTAACTACTACTAACTACCTACTAAACTAACTAACTACTAACTACTACTAACTACTAACTACTAACTAACTAACTAACTAACTAACTAACTAACGAACTAACTAACACTAACTAACTAACTAACTAACTAACTAACGAACTAACTAACTACTAAATAACTAACTACTACTAACTAACTAACTAACTAATTACTAACAATAACTACTAACTAACTAACTAACTAACTAACTAACTAATTACTAACAACTAACTAACTAACTAACTAAACTTTGTATAGAAAATTTTCGAGAAAATTCTTTTTATATAGAAAATTTTCGAGAAAATTCTCTTTGTATAGAAATTTTTCGAGAAAATTCTCTTTGTATAGAAATTTTCTGAAAAAATTCTCTTTGTATAGAAATTTTCTGGGTAAATTCTCTTTGTATAAAAATTTTCTGGGTAAATTCTCTTTGTATAAAAATTTTCTCAGAAATTCTCTTTGTATAGAAATTTTCCCAGAAAATTCTCTTTGTATAGAAATTTTCCCAGAAAATTCTCTTTGTATAGAAATTTTCCCAGAAAATTCTCTTTGTATAGAAATTTTCTCAGAAAATTCTCTTTGTATAGAAATTTTCTCAGAAAATTCTCTTTGTATAGAAACGCAAAATTGCGTTGAAAATATTTTAATACACATTTTTGAAAATACAAAAACAATTTAAGTATATTAACCCAGAAACAGAAATATACCACCGTTTACCTAATCATAACACAAGCTTCCAGGCAGAAGTACGAGCAATAACGGAATGTGTAAATTGGATTAGAATAAATATGGCGCCCACAGGGCTTAATATATTTACCGACAGCCAGAAGGCAATTTGTGCGATATCAGGTGATAGAATTAAATCTAAGACCGTATTGGATTGTAAGAAAGCTTTAACTGAATACTCTCCCAGAGGTAAGGTTCACATCATATGGGTACCAGGCCACTCGGGAGTAGCCGGCAACGAAAGGGCGAATGTAATAGCTTTAAAGGGAAGGGAGCTCGATGTAGTTAACCTGACAAACGCAAAACCATTCGACGCAACAAAAGCTGAATTAAAAATATGGATGAGAGAATCCCATAAGGCCTCTTGGAATAATGAAACGGTGGGTAGAACCACAAAGATTCTATGGGGTGACCCTGATGAGAGCAAGACGAGAAATCTTCTCAAAATGAGCAAGTCTGAGGTTAGTATGATGGTACGTATTCTCAGTGGACACACAGGATTACGAGCACATCTATACAAAATTGGACGTGCGAATTCAGACGAATGTAGAGCATGTGGAGAGGACAGTGAAACTCTGGAGCACTTTCTTTGCCATTGTCAGGCATTCGTCGAAGTTAGATCCAAGTATCTTGGAAGTGATGTTATTCCAGAAATAACATTCTTAACCAACACCGATTGGAAGATTCTTAGGAATTACGTCCAGGAAACTGAGTTTCTGAACATGGAAAAATAATACATTCAGTGAACAATTTTTTTTTTTTTTTTTTTTTTTTTTTTTTTTTTTCTTGAATTGGAGCGCACAACAGGCCCGATAGTGGCCTAGGTGTATTTCTTCGGATTTGATGTAGTATACATCCTCCTATCAACCTACCTACCTACCTACCATATTAAAAATTAATTGAAGTAAGGGAAAGGGATTTTCACAATAATTTTATAGATTTTGAAAATGTTGATTAAATTTAATAATTCTAGAAAATGTTTGATAAATACAAATGTAAATAGCTTAATATATTCTATATTTATAAGATATTTGTGATATTTTGCTTTATTAAAATTTTGTAGAAAATTCTTCCTAAATTTAATAAATTCTCTAACTATATTCCCAAGAGTGCCAGTAATTTAAAAAGCAACACATTTAATAACCAATAACAATATCATTAATTTAATATACATATGTTAATATTTCCCATATTGAAGGACCATTTAAAACTTAATAGTGAAAAAGCTTCAATATCAACTACAATAATGACCCCTCAACCTGTCTACCGACTTTTTTCACATATTGTTGATTTTAATGTGGAAAATATATTATCACAACCACTTACATGCCACAAACATAATAATCTATATCAATCTTTGAGCTTGTGTTTCAATACAGTTGCTGTGGTTTTTGTTGTTGCTGCTGTTGTTTTCGTACACTAATCTCTATTATTTGCATATGTTGCCACATTATAAAATCTATACTTATAAATTGTATAATAAATTTGAAAGAAAAGCTTTAAAAAAAATACAAAAAAATGTATAAACTACCATAAATATTGTGTGAGAGTGTGTGTGTAAGAGTAATAAAAAAATATAAAGAAAAGAAATGAAAAATATTGTATATACTGAAACTGACATTATTTAAAAAAATATATATATAAAATAAATAAAAGAAATAACGCACATAATCATGGATGACTGCTGATACATGCCTCCAACATTTTAACTAACACCACTCGACAACATGCATACTTACAACCATATGAGGTTTAAATTGTGGCATCATAAATTTAACGTTTAAATTTACGCATATATACTTTACAAGTGCTGCTCTGCTGTTGGTGGATTGTTGAATATTTTTCATATTTTTTTATGAAATAAATATTGAAAACTTAACATAAATTAAATATGTGGAATCGAGGAGAAAAAAAATCATTAACCTTCAGAGTGTTAAACTCAATAGTACAAAGTCAAGAGAGTGTGTGTGTAGTATATGAAAACGAAAGTTTTTAATAATAATATGTATGAGAAATCTGAAATTATATGTAATTTAAGATTGAAGATGAAGATGCTTGTGTGTGTGTTTTTTGTAAAGAAAATTTCAAATGATTTATTCTATGGCCTTGCTTTAGTCTTCGAAGACGAACTATATTTTAACAAGTTAGAGTGCTATATTCGGCTATGCCGAATCTTAAATACCCTCCACCAGCAAGCTACTTTTTATTGAAACCGATTTAACTATCTAATTTTTAGATAACTTGTCAAAATTTTTGTTTCCTTATTGAGGGTACTAACATTTATGCATATGTCAAACTAATTTAATTAGGTCGAGAAAATGTATATTAATAGGCTAGTTTGAAAACATTTTAATATAATGATTTATCTGTACACAGAAGATACTCATTTTGAATTTTATCCGGATATTATCATTTAATTACGAATTAAGTGAAAATCACTTTTCAGAAGTATACCTTATATGGGAGCTATGACAACCTATAGACCGATCCGGAAGAAAAAATCCGTAGAATGATTTATATATACAAAATACACATTTATGTCGAATTTATCCCGATAACTTTGATTGTTAATGTGCATTTGAGTAATTTTCAGAAATGGTCCTTATATGGGAGTTGTGACCAATTATCAACCGATAAGAAAAAATTTCGTATAATGATTTACCTATATGCCAAAAAAAAAAAAAATTCAAGTCGAATTTTACCACAATAGATTTATTAATTAATGAAATATGTGCGTTTAGGTGATTTTCGGAAGTGGACTTTATATGTATAGGAGCTATGACCTTACACAAAACAT